TGTGTTCTTCTTTTTTGCTACTTATCCAAAATCCACAAGCGGCCTCTTCACATCAGCAACCCAAAAAATAGGTCAATAGGACTTTGATCACGCTGATCATCACAAAAGTATGTTTGTTGTCCCAGTCAATGACTAAGTGACCAGAGTGATCACCACAAAGGACAAAACAGGCATTCGCATCTAAAAAAAAGATTACGTGTCATCAATGAGTGAAACAGACAAGAACAAAAAAACACACACTACGACTTTGCTTTGAAAGTTTGCATAGCTGTAATATTACTGTGGAGCTACACGTCTAAAACAAGCTCAAACAGGGAGGCAGATAATCAGGAGACGTCGATCTCCACGATCTGAATTTATCAGCTCCGACCACAAGTATATCTGTCGCTGCCTGCTTTTGTTTTTTCCACCAAGAATCCGGGCTCTTGATATACTTGCCAAACTTAAATTCCATTTCAAGTTAGATTCAATGTCACTGATTGCAGAGAATACGTGTGAGACATGTCATTCTCCTGCACTCAAGGGTTTCCTGTCTACATCTAGCGTGCTGCCAGCACTAAAAGGACAGCATCACACAGAGATGACTTGTGCCAGCCAAATTAAATCTTGTGATCCATAATAACTCGGCTCCAATAGGTCTGGGGTATTTTTAAGACTAACAAAATTCACACACATACACACACATAGCTCGCTTGCCCAAAAGGGGGGCCTAAACGGCCTCACTTACCAGCAGCGCTGTCGGACAGATGACGTTAAATCGGCGGGGAGCGACTCTGTTCAGAACTGCAACCAAGTTCACGTTGCTTTTGGTGCCGTTCCGTGCATTTGAAACCAACAAACCCTGTCAGCCCACCGCTAAGGCACGCCGACAGAAGCAATGAGGGCGTTAACGCTCATGTGACGATGTAACGCTCCACCGGACGCGCAATACCAAAGAGTTTACCTCTTCTGCCTGCTATGAAGTCGCTCTGACATAGCGGTTAACATAGCGCTTTTAACAGCGGACACCCCTTCTTCCCCCCCTCCCCCCACACACACACTGTGCAGCAACGCATGCGCAATGTGGGGTATGCGCACTGGCCGCTAGAGAGGTTTCACTGACTGCGAAAACCGGGCAAGTTAAAACTTGTGTACGGGCGTAGCAGCAAGCAGGACTTCTCAAAGTGCCCCGTTCAAAATCTACAGCTCATCACGATCATTTGACCTATGCCTCATAAATCCGGCTCAAACTGGACTATATTGCAGACGGAGCAACATCTGGAAAGGCTTTGCAGCTGGCTGAGATTAAAAAAAACAAAAAGAAAACTCTAAATGCAGCTGATACATGAAGTGAATTCTGAGCTGTTTCTTTTTTTTCTTCTTTTCTTGAAATATTGAAAATGTAAAAAAAAAACGTAAATTACAAAGGATAGCTGCTTTCGGTAGAGTTAAATTCTTCACAAATATTCAACTCATTTGTCTTCGGAGACATTTCACTTTTATTGATAGGGCTAATTCACAACAACAGCTGCCACAAGGCACTTTATGCTGTCAAGACCCTACAATAAGCAAGCGTTTGGCGACAGTGGGGAAGAAGAGCTCCCTCTTAGGACAAACCTCCCACAGCAGGCTCAGGGAGGATCAATATTTAATTATGTATAATGATTAATTGCATTATTGATGTATACGCACACAGAAGGTTTAAGGAAATGGCTGAAAAAGGTGCTCAGTGCATCATGGGAATTTCCCACCGGCTGAAACTTATTACAGTGTAACTAAGGGATGGTTCAGGGTCACCTAATCCAGCTCTAATGATGAACCCTATGAAAGCCTAACCTTACAAGTAGAGAGAGTCTCTCAATAATTAATTAATGGCACTGATTCTTTGCGCAGTCTTTTAGGAACGAATTTTAAAAGAAAATAGGTGCTATAAATGCACTAGATAGACTATCAGGTAGTTTACAAAAAATTGAATTACCGAGGTAAAAGTAGGCTCCAACATCAAAACTTTGCTCATGTGCACATAAGAGTCCACATTGAGATAG